TTTTTTTCTCTATTAATAAATTGTTCATAAATTACGATTGACTTTGCGGCAATATACACATTTTAATTATCACATTTTCAATATAAAACTTGTGTATTTATTGAGACGAGAAGTTTATCTGCTCGAGACGCATGCTAATCATCCACTCCGACATTTCCGATTTTCAATTCCAATCAGAACAAACTTCTGAGTTATTTGCAAATAATTTACATATACAACGTTCGAAAACATTTTGACAAAATGTGTAGACGAAACATCAGATTAAGTCTATTTTCGAATCGATGTTTATGCATCTTACTATGTTTATTGTTTTTTTTTTTTGTGTACGAATAACATGCTGAAGGAGAAAAGTGAAAGTGATTGTGATCAGTTGATTAGATACCAATTATGGATATAATGGATAATGGTTGGATGAAGTGAAATGCGAGTGGATGGGTCAAAGGCCACATGTTCGGTTGTTAACGGTGTGTATTACCGTATTTTCAATGGCACAACCAAAAGATGGTGGACCTTCTTCTCAATATTTATGCGCATACTGTATATACTGCAGGCATATGGTCTTTTTTTCATGCCGATAAGTTTTGTGTTTATGTCGATGGGGTTTTTTTTCTCTGTCGTCTAATTTGTGTAGAGAGAATATCATTTATGTTGCGCCTTGTTGCTCAGCATAACCCTCATTTCATTGTTTAAATTAAATAGAAATTGTTAGTAAACAAATTATAAAAAGTGAAAAATGTACAATATATATGTGTGTAACACCTCCTCGTGTCACCATGTACAACTTCTTATCTTTTCGCTTTTTGTGAATTTTATTCACCTTTTTCTATTTGCTTGAAATGTTTACTTTCTCTCTCTCCCCCTCTCTCTCTCTCTCTGTTGCACACACTCATGTGGAGTTTTGCTCGGGGTTGTGTGCGCTTTGCTCTCTTTTGGTTGGCATCATTTAAAGCTGCATCTGATAGACTGGTTGAAAATATATTAAAAACGTGCTGGAGAAATCACCCACAGGCATTATTAAAACACACACAGAGAGAGAGAGAGAAAAAGACCCACAATTCGTATGCGTCCATTACAGTACAATTTTTGCTCGAACTTTTTTTTTGCTGGGCTTGACATAAATATTAAAAAAATATAATATCCAAGTTTTAAGATCATTTGCGTACATCAGTTCAGAAATGTGTATGTACATTCGTTGCTACACATCCTCACGTCATCGACCCCTTTACTTCTCTCTCTCTCTCTCTCTCTCTCTTTCTCTGCTTGATTTGTTTCTATTTATTTTTCATCTGATTATGCAGGAGACAGTGAGACCATTGAAATGTTTTGCCAGCGATAGAAATTGCTTTCAAGAAAACAAAAAGAGCATCTGCAAAATAAGCAAATGCCCAACTCAAATTCAAAGCAATTGAAATGGAAACAATTCACAACTGCGTTGTGTTAGTGAAAAGAGAGCTTCAAGAGAAAAGCCAAGTTAATGCTCATTGCTTAAGTAGAAATCTTGTTTCAAGGGAGAGAGAGAGAAAAACCAAATTAATCGAATAAAATGAATGAAGCAAACGAAGAGAAAAACAATTTTTTGGAACTGACCATGTACGCATCACTAAACCTGGTGTATGTTGTTGTTTTTTTCTCTTTCCAATTGTGGCGTCACGATGATAACTGCATTGCCATGTTTACTTTTCTTATAGAAATGTAAATGCTAAGACCATACATTCAGCTGGCGTGCTCCGATGTTTTTCACATCACAAAGGAAATGATACACAGATAAAATGACACAGCACTTACGTTGGCTTTTCTTCATCATTTTCATTTGGGTGTGTATTCCCTTTTTCTCTTATCAATGAACCATTGTAAAATGATAGAGAGTGTCATAGAGTGTGGTTCGTATGCTCGCCCCTTTTTTTCGCATTCTGTGGTCGTTTTATTATGTGGTTTGTATGCACGTACACACTTTCTCAGCGCCTTAAGCCATCTTCAATTTGAAATGTTCGCATGGAAAGAGTAGGATGATAAAGTGAAAGAGAGGAAATCTGTATCGTTGTTGAATGTTGCGTTATCCGTATGCTTACGCATACATAGTTGATTTTTTATTTGGTCAGTATGTGTAGGTGGCCAATGTTCATAAGACAATCGACAATTTCTCTGGGCCCCACAATATGCCTAAGGTATCATTACAGAGATTTTTTTTTGTGTTCAGCAAAATATGGTAATATAGATAAAATGTAAGAGAAAGAAAAATTGGTTTCCCTTTTTACTGCCCAAAGACAATATATATATATATTCTTTCTATATGTATATTCATGAATTCATATCTAAATTCTATGATGTAGAAAACTGTATACCGACTGACAGCGCTTTAAAAGTTGCTATTGTCTGATATTATCCGCTCAAACACTTTCTCGGCACACCAAACTTTACAATAAATGGGAGCTGGTCAAATATATTTCAATTAAACCACAAAGCAAACAATACCATCCGCACCACCACAATATAGTATAATGAGACGAGAGACGAAAAAAATGCCATGTAAATTGAATATAAGTTACAGTGGCATGCGATTCTCTTGTGCATTTTGCTTCAACCACTTTTTTTTGTTCGCCAAGTTTTTTTTTCATTCATTTATTATCGTTGTGTTTAACTTTTCACAACTTGGGCATCATTTTTATATGCCTACAAAGCACCTTCTCTTTTTATTAATTTACATCGTGTGTTTCATCGTCGTCTGATAGCATAGCTTTTATTTGCTGGAGTTTCATTCAATTAATGTTGTTTTCTTCATAGTTTTTGTCACCTTTTGTTATGACCAAATGGGCTACGCAATACAATTGGTCTCGTAATTACAAACCTTGCCTAACAATATTGGACCGAATTTAAATGAATTTTATCGTTGAATGGGAAAATCCAGTTGCTCCAATGGATTTGATATTTATATTTGATATCCATTTCCGCAAAATCATATATGCATGCGGCATTTCAAAAATGTTACGCATTCGAATGGATTGCTGAGAATGTTAGCATATTTGCACAATGAATATACGTTGAATGCATGAACTGGTATTAAATGACAAACACGGAAGAACTAGAATGCATGTTAATTTGTTAAAGCATTGCCATAAGCAACGGAAGAACGCACCGACAATCGGAAGACTATTCAATAATTATTCCGTACTCACTGTTTAATTTACGGATAATTTTTTCTCGATAAATGATTTTTGTCTAGTAAAACACACCGAAATATTTTCAATTATATGTTTTGCTCAGAAAGTGTGTTGATCAGAATTCCTTGCAATTTTACCATATTTTCAAAACATGATGCCATTTCTTTTTTCTGCCAAAAAAATTTGTTTTTTTTTTTCTCAACAATTTGGTTTACTGTTACAGTATCGATTGTAATGGTCTTTTCACTAGGTTTCAAACAATTAAACATTTTAATTATAGCTCAAATTTCAAATCGGCACGCTCATCAAAAGGCGCTGGATTCGTGCATGTATATACTTACATAGCATTAAAATACGCCTTATGCTATACAAAACAAGTGTAGGAAATTATATTGAAAAACATTATATAAATTAACTGTTAACTCGTGACGATCTCTGTGTTTTCTTTCTCTTGTTTGCCTCATTCCTCCTTTTTCTTTTCTTGTATTTTTCTTCTTATTTTGTATTATAATCATGAGCAAAAGTCGCACACTTTTAAGTCATAGCCGATGTTTACTCAGTGTTTTTTATATGCTTTGATGTTTTTCTGCACATAAATATATATATAAAAAAAAGCAAATCAGAAAAAAAGGAGCTCGTGCTTCAAAAGGCGGAGATTGTACATCATTGCGGGAAATTAATCAATATAGAGTGCACGCGCTTCTATTTTCAGCTTTACACATTTAAATTTTTTATTTTTTTATTTTCCGTTTTTTTTTTGTGAAAAAAAAATCGCACTACATTTAGAGAAATACAAATTTGACCGTAAGAACGTATGGACGTTGTTCATCGTTCATTCATTCAAAACAGAAATCATCGGATATAAAAGTATATATAACCGAAACGAAAACGATAATATCACCGTACAATCGTACATACCGTATCGAAGAATCATTCAAAAATCTGTATCCTTCGTATTATAATGTAATGTTCGGAAAATGAAAAAAAAGTATATCGCTGTCATGAAAGCTCAATACGTTGATTAAATCATTGTACGAGTTTTAGTAGGTTTAAGGAGCATCCATTTCAGATTTGTTATTAAATTTTTACTCGCATTTTTGCTGAAAAATAGAGAAAGAGAACAAAAAATGTGAAAATAAACAATTTTTCGTAACAATCCAATTACCATCATCGTAGAATCAATTACTCCAAATATGAAAGTTTTTGTTTCCGATTTGATTTTCGTTCACTTCCGCAATGCTATAAAAATAAGGGTCCGAAAAAAATGAAATAAAAAGACTGCTTGAATGGTTGCCAACACAATTTTTACTTTCAATATTTGGGTTTTCGTTGATAAGAGTTGAAAGAAAACCATTTCGAACCGAAAAAAAATGGAATTCTTTTGAAATCGAAATGCCATATGAATCATAAGTGCTTCTGATTCACTTTGCGTGTTTTCCATAGTTTCCATCACCACTGCCGTCACCGTCGTCAGCACCGACACTGAATTTGTTAAAATTTGATAAAGCATAAAAAAAACGCACAGATTAGTCAATCAAATGCAATATAATAAATGTATTTGGGCTTGGCACATGCTTTAGTTTGGTTTGATTCGATTTTCAGACGTCGTAGAATTTTTACCGGCTGTGAACAAACTGCTGCATGTGCAATGAACATGCGATTGTTTTTATTTTGCGTTTATTTGAAATGTGGTGTATTTATGGTCACATGACTCATTTCGATTATTCACCTGGCATTGCATGTCTATGTCCAGTCATTCTTCACTTTTTGATGATTTAGTTTGTGTTATGTTTATCGAATTCCACTTTTGCTCATTGTGTTTTAATCTTTTCTCCCAAACAGAAGTCATCGCAGTCAATCGCAACATTTGAATCGAACTATTTGTTTAACTAACAACGAAATTTTCCGAAATTATTTGTTCACAAAAGACAAATAAATAAGATAAAAGAAGAGAAAGAGATTGCGAGCATAGAACATATTGTGGAAAAAGTGAATAAAAAGAAAAATAAAAGAAAACATAAAAACGAAATAAATATTGAAAATTTATCTACAGCAAATTTTATCATGTAAGTAGCATCCAGAATATAATTCACTTTTCTTATATATGTATGTATGGAAAGATATATTTTTTTGCCTTCAACTATAAATTTTGCGCAGTGTGAGAAAGCAAGCTATTTGAAATAATTCCGCTTTGGTTAGTGACCTAACCATGTAAGCGATTGTACAAAAGCGGACTTCAACGGATTGTTTGTTATTGCTGTGTTTTTCTTTTGTATCAATTGAATGAAAAAAATGCAATAATAACAGAGCTTGATTTTACACGTATTCTATTTTCATTTTTAAAATGCCTGTAAGCGATAGCGTTTAGAATATATTGTGTGTTGTGCATTTTTCTTAATCCTTTGCATTTATATGGAGTTAAAACAATTTAAAAGAAAGAAAATACAATTACTTTCTGAAATTCTTGCACTTAAAAGCCTTCGATGTGAAGTTGCCAGTCCGGTGCTGCAGATGATAGAGGAGGGCGGAAAAGACAGAGTGTGTAGTGTTCGTGCGACGAGAACGACGGCGACGGCGAAGACAGCGACAGCTCGAGAAAAAAGAAACAATAATACTTGCACACAAAATCGAAAGAGAAAGTTGTAAGAGAAGCGCGACAGTGAATGAGCGTGTTCGCGAAATAAATGGAAAAAACAGATAGAATCTAGTATACTATACTGTATATACACATCGACCAAAGATATCTGAAGCTATCAATTGGAAACATTCGATACAATTTTTCTTTTCATCGAATTGGTATGCGGTTTAAATAGCAAACGATCACATTCGTACGTAATTCAAACTGCTTCCAGCAGACACGGAAGATATTTAAAAAAAAAAGACGAAGAAGAAGAGGAAAACCCACAACCGCACATAAACACACAAAAATGGTTTTCGATTTCAAACCATTTAAGCAAACCACGTCGAGTTGTTTCTACGCTATTATTTTAATGGTGCTAAGCGGCCTGCATGAATTAAGATGTAATGAACATGCTCTGGATTTTCAAAAGAACAGTAAGTGTTTTGATCGTGCTTTGAATGCATACCGATGAATTCATTCAATTTATTACAATCATATGTATTTATTGTATTAATTATTGAATGACCATGAATTGTCTCAATGTTCTAATTGTATTCGCAGTTCCAGTTCGTGTTGTTTGGGCAGTTAAGGGAAAAGATGTCGATTTACCATGCGATATAACGACATCGGTTCCAGGCGATTATCCAAAGTTAATATTGTGGTTTAAGGATACCACTGGCATTCCCTTATATAGGTAAATTTGGTCGAATGACCAACAAATATCATTTTATGTTTATGACGTGTGTCATTCTCAACACATTTGTTAATGTGTAACAAAATCACGATTCTTGTACTATCATCCACACTCTCCCTTCGTCACCATTCCCGTTATCTCATCCCGATGGGTATTACGATATATCAATGAGTGTAAAACACACTCTTGTTAGAATGTGTATAATTAACTCGTGTTTACAACATGTTATTTATTATTTCCCGTATATATCCATTTTATTTGATTCTGAACCATTTTTCCGCTTTTCTTTTCAATTACCTTCTTGATTCACGTAACGATAATTATATTAATGACTCGATAAATCAATCATTGCCTTATTTTCTCTCTATCTCTTGAATTGTTACCGTTACCGATGCCATTGCTATTGCCAACACATCGTTTCCGATGGAATCGAATAAATTTTTCAACAAATTTAACGATATGATGTGGAATGCAAATGACACCGATATCCGATTTCGAATTCATGCGACAAACACACATACAAACAAATACATACAATAATACACGCGATCAGCATCGATTCACGAGAACGAAATGTTAAATTTGGAACACATTCGGCAATTGCCAGTGATTTGGGTGAGCGCCTTTTTTTCGCCATCGATGACAATAACAGTAAAAATGCACGGCTTCAAATAAAAAACGTACAAGATACCGATGGCGGTGTGTACCGGTGAGTATAATTAATTATTAAGAAAATATTAAGACAATATTCTAATATTTCAATGGTATTGTCCTCCAGGTGTCGAGGTGAGTATCAATTTTTGTTGGTTCCATGTCTATTCTTCATACTGATTGAATGCTTAATTACTGTCCTGTATGCATTGGATGTGATGTGCAGTGGATTTCTTCAATTCAGCGACACGAAACTCACGGATTAATCTCACACTAGTTGGTATGTATTGTGACAAACTAATAAATAATTTATTTAATTTTATATTAAAATAAAAATCGATTTTTATGCTCGTTTTCACTTATAAATTATGCGAACGCGATTTATATCAATTTTCGATACGCACAAGTCTTCATGAAAATTGAATGAGTGAAAATAAGAGAGACAAATATAAATGGAGACATACAGAGGCAGAAAGAATTGATTGAGTATGATATGAATGCAGTTTGATTTTTCTCTCTTCTTTCATATTTTATTGGTTTGATAAAAAAAAAACTTTCTTGTCTTTTTCTTTTGTATGGAATTCTGATTGATTTTCTTTCAATGAACAAGTTTTCAACTTATGATCGAAATAAATTTTATTAGCAAAGAAATGAAATATAAAACTTTTCTCTGTTTTCACTCTCTCCCCACCTTTCGGCCAATTTGCTTTTTTTCTGCCCAACCGCCACTCATATTCATATTCGTGCCCGGTCACGATAAAGAAAATAATCGTATTGACAAGCGCGACGTGTTCGTCCATATTTTCTCTCTCTCTCTCTCGCTCTCTTTTCGTTCGTTTATTTGCTATTTATATTAATGGTTTAATTTGTGTACAGTTCCGCCCGATGAGCCGCGGATATTTGATACGCATGGTAAGGAAATAACAACAATAGCCGGACCATTTCGTGAGGGTCAGGAATTTTTTCTATCGTGTCAAGTGAGCGGCGGAAATCCACCGCCGAAAGTATCATGGTGGCGATCAGATGTCGAAATACCTGGTCTGAATCATCAATCAATTGTAACGGGCGCAGTTATAAACAATATACTGATGCGAGTCATACCCAGGGACTATTATGCAACGAAATTAACATGTAGAGCTCAGGGAACTACATTAATTGATCCAGTCGAAAAAGAAGTCACTGTCCAACTTCATCGTAAGTATTTAACCGTATATACAGAATGCCCGCGATATGCGAATCTAATCCCCAAACCAATACAACGTTCAGACAATCAACCCATCAGTGCCGACAATGAATAATTTATTTACATTTTTCTTATGTGTGTATTTTCCTCTCTATGCTCGAATACACAGTGAAACCACTTAAAGTTAAAATAGTCTCATCCAATGAAATATTAACTGTTGGTGTCAAATCGCCACTACGATGCGAAGCATGGGGCTCAGCACCACCAGGTTTGTTTTTAACTATTAATAATAATATGCGCACTATTGCAAGCGATTGGCAGTCAATGCACGCACCAAACAACACTCAACCGTTGTGTCTCATTTGAAAAACATACGAGTCTTTCTATCACATGCATGAAAAATGAGAACAAACCACAACGTTTGAGGTTTTTGAAGTTTAAATTATATGTCTATGTTTCAAGTCGCAATATACATTCGATTTGAGCAAAAAAAAAGAACAGAGCGCAAATCTAATTATACGCAAAATTTAAAATAATTTTATATTATTGCGTATGGTGTGTATGTGTGTTGAATAAAACTCTTTGTTTTTCTTTTGAAATTGGTGTCTTATGCGTTCACGCTTTTTTTTATCTTTTTCTCTGTGTTTGTGTAAACAATAAACACTTGAGCAGCGAAAATATCGTGGTTTTTGGATGGAATACCAGTAATAAATGCCGAAATTACAGCCCATACTGATAGCAGTGATGAGGTTAGTGTACATAATTACTGTTAATATTATCATTAAAACCACAACCGATCCATATAAATTCGATTAAATTTTTGTTTTTGAAGTATTCATTTCTCTTATCCAAAATCAATTTGAATCGTTCCTTTTCGCGGTTCATTTAATCGGTCTTGCATTTTATGTTCTGATTGGTAATGATTGGAAAACAAAGTTTTAATTCGTTGTTAAACAATCATATTATTCATAAAATAATTACATCAAGTTCCATTTTTTAAGAATATATCTACAAAAAAAAATGTATTAATCCATGTGTCTTAATGTGTGTTCAGGGTGGAAATAAAACAGTGAGCATCGTTCCGCTGGCAGTTGTGCCGGAAAATAATGATGCTGAATTGGTGTGTCGTGCATCGAATCCATGGTTTCCCAGCGACATAATCGAAGATAAGAGAATCATTAAAGTGGCCTGTAAGTTATTTTGAAACATCAGAATTATGAACAAGTGGTCAATGAATTGTGCAAAGATTGGAACGTATTCAATTCAATGAATATGAGTGTAATTTGATAAAAAAAGAAAAACCTCACGCGCTCGAATGCGCATCCATTCTAAGAATAGTAATTAATTAAGTGCAGTCTTGAGATGATTTTTTATAGCTTCATCGTTCACGCGCTTCTGTCATTCTCCATCATTCATCTAATTGAATTTTATTTGTTTCGATTAATTTAGATGCGCCTAGTGTGTCAGTGCACTTGGCTAACGAAGAACCGATTCCCAGTCGTTTAATTATTCGGCCGGAACGTGAAAATGTGACGCTGAAATGTCGTGCGGACGCCAATCCGCCGGTGGATTCGAACAGTTATGGATGGTTTAAAAATGTAATATTCATTATTTGTTTTTTTTTTCTGGACGAATTGATTGAATTATTGACATGTTAAAATGCTGTAATATTTGATTTTCATAAATATTGCATGATACAAACATCCAAATTTCAGTCAAAACTAAATCAATGCACGATTGCATTAATAAGTAACGAATAAAAATTGTTAAATAAAATCAAAATGCATTTAGAAATCGAAACACATTTTAACTGCATTTCCTGTCGATTTATTTGTGTATTAGGGTATGCGAATGTCTGGTGAAAATACGGAAACATTGCATCTCATAAACCTCGAACGACAAAACATCGGTGAATATTCATGTTCGTCGAAAAATGATTTGGGTGAAAATCACAGTTCAACACTAACTTTGCGTGTGCAATGTGAGTTTAAAATATTTATGCAGTGCATTTAAATTGTTTTATTTAATCAAAATCATTCGTTTTTTTTTCTTGTCATCTCCTCTTTCTCTGTTTTTCTCTGGATATGTAACTGCTTTTACTAATTCATATAGATGCACCGCGATGCAAACCAGGCACAGAACAATCGTCGGTAGGCTCTATAAATATGCATTCGATTGATGTACGGTGTGAAGTCGATGCAGATCCGGCTGAAAATATTCGCTTCAGTTGGACGTACAATAATACGAGAAATGTGTCGCCGGTTTGTAAAATGAACATTATTTCAGTCTCTTTTTCTAATTAGATTTCATTTTCATATTTATCATTTTATGGTTTGAAAAATTAATGCCGATGTCATGTTAAACATATGTTTTTATTTAATATTTGTCATGGAAAACAAACACAAAAATTATCATAGGTACTAAATTCGAGAATAACGTCAAATGGATTAGTTAGTACGATGACATATCTTGCACCTACTGATTCCGAGCTAACACTGGCATGTTGGGCAAGCAATGCAGTCGGTCGTCAAGAAATCCCATGTTTAATTCATATAATACCAGCCAGTAAGTGGCCTTAAAACAATTTTAATAAAACCATATTATGTATTAGCGTATTGTACAAATGTCTATATATATAAATAAGACACACGTAACGCAAATGTATTTAATAATATATGCATTGTTTGTGCGATTTTAGAATTGCCCGAACAACCGAAATACTGTGAACTCAGAAATGATACAATATTCGAGGTTGTATGCACGGGTGGTAACGACGGTGGTTTACCGCAATATTTTCTGCTTGAGGTGGTTGGTGGCAATCCCGTGAGTCCTGATTTTAGTAGAAATGATTTTGACAATAACATGAACACCAATGAAATATCAACAATGAACGATCAAGCAACAACAGCACCTTTGCGTCGAATTAAGGAGTCTCTTCCCGAATTTAAGTTGTATGATTTAGAGTAAGTAATCATCAAATTGAAGAAAACTCTTATTTTTTTATCGTATTTCATTTAACAAACACTTGTTTTTCGGTGATTGTATTTTTGTTTGTGTTTGTGTAAATTAGACCGGGTCGTGAATATCAATTTTTAGTGTACGCTGTAAATGCAAAGGGCCGAAGTCATCCACCTGTCGTAATGCAGGGAAAAACGTTTAACGACATCATTGGACCGCATGGTAAATTTCATTTATTCGTTTCACAATTTTCAATATGGCATCAGTGATGGGCCATCACTATTATAATCATTAGTTAACTAAGGCTAATTTACATTTTGAATTATTCTATTGCCCACACAAAACGCGCACACATCCAAACAAAAGATGAGACCATTTTATCGGAGGATCCACCTACGGAAATCTCAAAACAGGAAAAACAAAGACAATCAACAATGATTATTATTGGAGCCGGAGCAGCAGCATCTTCAGTTATTGTAGCTTTATTTGCTGTGCTGTGCCGACGATCACGACCAACACAAGTGACCGATCCAAAACCAACATCAACCGAACACCAGATGAAACGATTGAAGTAAGTGTGCGTTGTATATCATTTGAAACATTCAATTCTATTGGATTCTATCAAAATGGTCATGTACAAGTACATATAATTTAATGGGCATAAACGAAAAGTGGAAAGGAAGGAGACGTATGGAACGTGTGTTTGTGTACTATTTCTGGTGCTGTATTGTGCGCCTCATTGCCGAATTTAATGTTCAATTTGTTGAATACAGCCCGTATTCATATTAACAGCATCTTTCTCCAATTCATTTATTTTCGGTCGGGATTTAATCATAATTACATTTATTTTATGCTCCCCCACTTTCCGTTTTGTTTGTTTATTCTTACTTGACGCTGATGATGTTATTGATGATGTTGTTGAACATTTTCAATCACATGTTGAATTTTCTTCTCTTCAATAATCGCATCGTTTTGTGTTTTACATTTCATTTTCTTAAATCGATTAGACCAACACGAATGCCATCCATGTATGCAGCAGAAGAAGATGGGATTGACGATTACGGCCGATGCGCAGATGTACGATGTACACGAACGATAGGTGGTCAAAGCACCAGTCACTTCATATCTGAAGGTTTTGTACAATATTCACAGCCTAGTTTCAACGGTATGGTCGAATTGTATCAGTCTAGTGCAAGCATCAATATGTGTTCTTAGCGAATTCCGAACGATTTTTAGGTATGATAATTAGATAAACAAAATTTTCTACAAACCAAACAAACAAAACCAGTTGAATAATTTTAACCATTTATATTAATATTATCAAGTAACGAGATACTGATTCGAATTAGTCTTCAAACAAAGAAAGAAAGAATGATATATATATATATATATATGGAAAAAAAGCTGATTGTAATCTAAATGAACGTTCTCTTTTAAAAAGAAAATGCATATATTTACTGTCGGTATAGTCTCTTCAGGATGCATTTTCCCTTGCATTTTAAAATGATTGACACAAAAGGGAAAATGGAAATTAAACAAGAGATATAGAAAGACAGTAAACGCAGAGAGGCTATTCATTGTGCGGTATTTGTGCTTTTGAACTAAATGTTGTTGTATTTAATCGACGGTCTCTGAATAAACCAATCCAAAAAAATATATATATATATAAAAAAATTGTACGGCTAAAATTGCGAAAATAGATAAACTTTTAACAAAGAAATAAATAACAACAAAAATGTACATAATTTTACGGAGAGAAAAAAAATGGGCGAAGAATGAAAAAAAGAGAGTACCCAACAAACCATTAATTTTATTCAACCTTTCAAATTTTATTATTATGCTAAATTGGACTGGACATTACGAAACGGGAAAACCATTTTACCAAAGTAAATGAACGTTGTATGAAAATGAACACAAACACTCTATAAATATATTGTAGTTAAAAAAGTGAGACGATGAATTCAAGATACTGTCTAAGATATTATGTAAAAGAGAGATAAATTAAACAAAATATTAAGAAAAATAAGAAGGAAAGGAAAGTTTATATGCTGCGAGCAAAACAAAAATCGTATGTACAAAATAAAATCTATCTTATAACACTGTTTTTATGCTCAACTGACAAATGAAACGAATTGAATCGTTTTCTTGGACGTTCTTTTTTTCCAAATAGAAGAATAAAACTGAAACAAAAATAACAAGTAAAACGCATTACAAATTACCGATAAAAGTATCATCATTAAATTCAAATCTTTTTTTTATTGTTTGAAATTTAATATTAATGTATAATTTTTCCGTCTTTAGACGCTATTGCAAACAAAACCAAAGCCAATCGGGCGCTAATACTTAACAACTTGCATTTTTATTCACTTTGATCTTCTTATTCTTTGATATCTATTATTTTTCCTCATTCACAACATGCAGCTGATCACCATGATCGAATTTTTTTTTTTTTTTTTTAAGAAGAAAAACAAAACAAAACTCCAGAATGATAGAATTTATTTTGTATCAAGGAAACATCTAGAGAAGCCAAAAACAAAACAAAAATAATAATAAAAGAGTCAATAAATGAGAAGTAGTAAAATATTGCAAAAGTCTTGTGTGTATTTGTTTGTTTTCCCTGAGCAAACCAAATGGAATTGAACAGTCAAGTGGTCCCACATGATTTGTCTTTTGTCGCCATAAAAATTATTGAGCGACAAGATTTTCCAGGATTTTCAGCCCTTTGAATGTTGTTGTGAATTCTTATTATTTTCGGATGGGGCTTTTCATCGAAGATAAACGTACTTTTCGATATTGGTTCTTTGGTGTCTAGAGAATTGTTTGTGTGTCGAATATGCGCCACTTGAGCCACACACACAAAAATGCCATCTATATTTCATATCGTCTGAATGCGCGTGTTAACAGCAATAATGCAAGGAATGTAGAAATACATATAAATATGGGTCTTTTCATAATTGCTTCACATATGGTGACTATATTTCGGTTCTAATTTTCATATTACTGTTGGTTTCAATGGTGATCATTTAATTAGACATGAAATAGATACAAATTGAAAAATGTAATATGTGTTTTTTTTTTTTGTTTTGGTTAAACTTTTTTTTTTATTACTCCAACATAATGTTTGTGAATAAATATATGTATGTATGGAATTTAATAAGTAACATAATTCGTTTTTGCTCATGAAATTGTTCATCAATAAAATGTGCTCTTGTTTTTATGTATTCATGTATGCTTTCAAACGTTTCAATTATTCGAGCAAATTTCGGTCAAATTGACTCATCATTTTTTTTGTTGTTTCCTCTTTTGATAATAGACAACCAGAATTCTACATTTGTTTTAATTTATTTCCTAAGTGTTTTTTTCTGATCTTTTTTTTTGTCTTTTGCTCAGTGAATTGTGTATGTATGTGTGCGTGTGTCTGTGTGTTTGGTGTTAAAAATATCTGATGTATAGTGCCTTAAACATTGTTTCATTTTTCTCATTTTTGTCAAATTGGTCGGTTTAATTTTGGTTTTTTTTTTTGCTTCTTTTATTTTTTTGCATCGACCGTTGCTGATGTGGCAGTTATATTTGTGCTACCGACGACGCCATTGCCACCACCACACTTTGATTGTTCGTTTTCTTTCAGCGTAAATGTGACATAGTACCTAAAATTGATCAAAAAGAAATCATATTTCTATTATGTGGATAAAATAAAAAGGATACGAGCATACTACCGTTTATTATTATCTAATTTTTCAGCTGGCAATGTGATCAATTGTTTGTTGTTACCATGTGATAATTCGAGTGAAACGGTGTTGTGCGAATTATTTCCGCTGCCACATTTACCAGCGCCACCAATTCCGCCGCCTTTTGTACAAATCTTCGGCAAATAAAAGCTTCCCATGCTCGTCTTACCAAAACCATATTTTGGCATCGTATGATGATTCATCATTGGTACTGTGAACATTTCATGAGAAATACAATAAAATAAATAATTAATAAAATGAGTTATAAACACTGGTGCCATCATCACACATTATATATGTGAAATGAAAATGAAAGCGAACAAAAACAAAAACAAAAACTCGCTCCATATGTGCCATCATTTAATTATCATAATTGAAACATCTTTCTCAGCCATAAAATCTTGCATGCATCAAATGAATTTTAGATGCTCACTTTGACGCAAAGTAAACAAAGGCGAAAAAAAAAAAACTCAAGCCGAGAGAAGAGCAAAAAAAAAATGTTACACTTATGGCCCAATGCACAAACAAATGTACAACTATAAAAACTATAGTTTGTTAAAATGGCCCAGAATGTTTTAAACATGCAAAAAAAGAACGTACACACAAATTGAATGAGGAAAGAGAAAAGAATGTTTGGCAAAAAAGTAAACACAAGCTCAAATTTCGAAAAATTCAGTTTGTGGGTTTATGGTTTTTGTTTAACAATGACACATATGCGGTTTTTGATCTGTATTTCATTGCCGACAGAATATGTAGAGCATCATTGCCACCCATCAGAAAAACACAAAGAAGACACCGAGAAATGAACGAACAAAAAAAAATGACGCACAACTTTTTGAATTGCTGATTCAATTTGGCATCTTTTTATCCAACAACTTCTGTCTTTGTATGCACATTTTATTTTCATAAAATTCATAGCGCGCTTCATTTCAGCCGCGCAAATACCATATATTTGAAGCAACTTTAATATATATGAAATGCATTTCAAACGAATAACATGTGTGCATCATACTTACTATACGCCGCACATGGAATGCCTTTTTCGGTGTGTGTGCCGCGAGCCCAAATAACAGTAAACCATTAAGGAACATTACACGCCAACACGAAAAACAAATTAAATCCAAACGCCAGCGATGAACCGAATGCACCGTAGTCATAGCCGTCGTCGTCATCGTCATTTGAAGCAGAAGTCGTAGTAGCAAAATGGGGGGGAAAAGATGATAGAAATAAGAACGATGTTAAAAACAAGTATATTGAAAATAATATATCCCGGTTGATGAGTGTGATTAATAAGAATTGAGGCGCGAACACAACATATTCAAATTTAAGCCACTCAAATTCAAACATTCGCTCACAAAATCTCAAGCGTAAAACAATAAGAATTTGTAGTTTTATGAGCAGAAGGTTTAAATAGTTCATGTGGTATTTTAACCAGATTAGATGGTGATTCGAAGGAATTACGGTAGATTTATTCAGTCAGTTGGTTTAGTTGGGAGTATTATGTTGTTCGTATGTGGTTTTATACTACACGGTACCTGTATATGCATGAGCCGCATGAAGACAACGATGAGTTTTGCTGGTACAGTACATCGCCTTTTTGCAACGCGTGTAATCTGGGCTGAGTCTTCGTTCGGCCTATAAATATTGAAGCAAATCAAACAATTTGATTATGTCAGCCGCAAAAAAAAAAGAGAAAAGAACACCCTCGCACCGAAGAAAATTGATAATAATAGATGACAGGGTTGTAAACAAAAAGTCAAACGTATCAAACAGCACGTGCACACACACACACACACCTACACATGCAAATATTCTCTTACCTCCAAGTAAACATCGGAAATGTTTTGGAAATTATTGGATCCGCTCTTTTGTAAGCTTTTCAATACTTCGTACAGGAAAATTTCAAAATTCTTGAATGTATACTCTTTGTACGGATAACGTCTGAGTGTGCTACCCGTTTCACTGCCAATTTCCATGGTCGATTTATGGTAATCATCAACGGCTCGTTTCACTAGCAACGATTCATTCACTTTACTCGATCGAATCTGCAAACTTTTCAACTCCAACAAATGCTGGAATATTTTGTGCTCCATGTAATATCTAGAACAAAGCGATAAATATCAATTTAAAATAACGATTGAATGAGATTGAGATTGTGTGCAGTGATTTAGTATTTTGTGTGTTACCGTCTGATATTACGTTGTAATGTTTGCGATACGGTTGTCATATTACATGCATTTTTATCACCAAGTTTTCTCGCTTGATCAAAGCGTGAGCTAGATGAACGGCCATCGATGATATCACCAACTCTTGGACGTTCCGGCAAACTGGCTGTATAAATGGCGCGTGTTGTTAAATTTTTTTGTGTTGCACGCAATGTTCTTGGACTTGGTTCAAAACCAGAATCTTGATCTTTACTCAATCCATCAACAATGGTTAATTGCTTAACACTTTTTGCCCTTTTTTTTATATTTCTTTCGGCGACCATTGAATTGGCCATCACTTTTAACAAGTTCACTGTCCGAATATTTGCCACCATATGCTAAATTACGATTTAGAAATTCTTCATAATTTTCATTGCCGCCCGTTTCCTGATCGCTGCTTTGATGCAAAATAATATCTTCACCGCTTGCATCACGTGATTTTAAAACTTTAAAACTTTTCGGGCGACTTAATATCTTTTCATTTGAATCACCGTTTTTCAACTCTTTGCTTTCATTTTCATCCAATCCGGCCAATAAATCATCGATTGATTGGTCACTTTTGAGTACGGTAAAACTTGTTTTGCGAATCGTTTCTGTGGGTGGTTTTGGCGGTCCCAAATTATTACCTGTATCGTCTATTTCCTGATTTAAATTATCACTTTGTTGTTTTTCGCTTGGAAGAACTTGAAAACTTTTGGAAGCATCAACATTTGATGTTTTATCATCAGACGCTGCATCGGCTTTTTTATCAGCACGATTTTTTTCATCAATTTGAACACTTGTTTTTGCATCAGCACTCTGATTTAATTTATTCTCTGTCGCTTTTTCCGCTGGTTTTGTTTCTTTGGTTTCATCGATTGTTGTACTGGGTGCTGGTTTGACATCAATGGCAGTGGCTTCAGTAGTTTCGGAAACAATGGCCGGTTCATCGACAGTGATGGTAGTTTGAACGTTGTTTTGGCCACCACCATCTGCTTTTTCTGATTGTTTTGCTTCGTCTTGTTTTTCTTGGCTCCCTTCTTTTATAGTTTTTGATTGTTTAATCTCCTTACCATCCGTAGTTTCTTTTTCCGATGCCACAACACCCGATTGGATTGGCTTCGACTCTTGTAATGAGCTTTGTTCAGTCGATTTTATTGCGTTTAAATCATTGGACTTCTTTTCATCAGATGTCTTTTTATCGACAGACGACAATGTTTGAGCATCGGCCGATGGCTGAACCGTTTCTTTTGCGGAATCGTTCGATTTTTTAGTTTCAACCTTTTGTTGGGTATCTTCTTTAGTCTCTGCCTTGGCAGAAGTTTCAGAGTGTATCTTTGTTGAATTTTGCGATTCAGATGGAGTGTGAACATCAGCCACAGTAATTATCGATTTTTTTGTTGATTCTTCAACTGGAACGCTTCCTGCTTTTGCACTATCGACCATCGTAGTTTTATCCGGAGATTTCACTTTTGCAGATGATTCACTTGGTTGCTGTACATTAATATTCGATGTGAACTTTGCCTTCTTTTCAGTTTCCACTTTCTTTTCATCTTTTGACGCTTGTTGACGATGATCCTTTTTTCCAATTTCTTCTAATAATGTTGAAAAAAAAAATCGAATAAAAAGACAAAAAAAAATCGAATTTCATTTTAGAACCATTGAATATATGGAAGCAATTTTGGAATAAAGTGAAATGGCATACGTTTCTCTGGGCTCAATTGTGTTAATGTTGTGATTTTTTCTTTTCCATCCGATTCTTTGCCAGAGGCAACTTTTGATTTTTCCTTTGATCGATGACTATCACGTTTGCGTCGATAATTTCGATGGCAGTGTTCGCTGCTCTCCACTTCGCTCGATGAATTTTCCGTAGATGTTGCATCACGTCGACCTCTCGGTTTCTTTTTATGATATAAACAAATTTCCACATTACTTTTCGACCGGCAAATGTTATTGTCTGGGCCACTGTCACGCTGCAAGATTTCTATTCGTTCGCAGCTGTTGCTTCGAAAGCGACAACGGTGCCTATAATGATGATGATAATGGTAATGACAACCGCATGGTTTTCGAGAACGAGATTTTCCCGGCATTGCATCTTCCGTATATTTTTCTTCACGCTTCATTTCATCAGCATCTAGTTGGGGAATAAAATTCAAATAAAAGCAAATAATCATAATCATAAAATTGTGTGATTGTGAAATAGCCGACAAAAATATTGTATAATACCCGCATTCATATCCCCATCTTCATCCGTATCAGAATGGTCAACGTACAGCCAAACGTTACGCGTTTTTTTCGCTTGTTCATTTGCATTCGATGAACGTTGCTTTTTATCTCCACTAAATGTTAATGGCAATGGTTTAACCAATTCCTGATCATTCAATGCGTTTGGATTACGTCCCGATAAACGTAATTTATTCGCTGGTAGACCACCATGAAGTTGTAAAAATTTAGCCGTCGATCGATGACCTTTGTTCAGCGCACAGTCAAGTGGAGTTTGAACGACATTTCCTGGAAGTCGATAGATGCTGTTGATGTCGGCGCCAAAGTCGATTAACATCTATGTAAAACAAAACCAACACACAAATAAATAAATGTATCTGTTTTAATTCACATATTCACATTATTTAAACATAACATCAAATGAGAAATGGCAAAGCAATAAAAATCATCATTCACAAAAAGAAAACCGAAAATGAAGGAAGAACACACATACAAAAAAGAAAACAACAACAACAATAACAACCACAACAAAAGTCATAGCTCATATATCTGTTCTCTGTTGAATTTCTACATATGTTAAGATGTATATTTCGAATGATATACGATATTTGAATGCAAAAGGATAACTGCTGTGCTCAAAAACCGAAAAAGATGGATCATTCGGTTTTGTTGGTTGTTGCACATGTGTTTCGTTCACAGTATGAATACTAGTACGTGCCAGATGTGATGTAAAACAAAAGAGAGATAGAGGCGAAAGAAATAGAACACAACGAAGACAAAAAAAAGAGAGACATCGATATTTTCTATACGTACTTTGCACATATCAGCATAATCATTGCTAGCTGCTATATGTAAAATGGTGCGACCATCGTTGCTTGTTGTGTTTACATGTTTTGGTCGTTGATCCAATAACCAAAGAACTAGTTCACGTCGACCAGAATTGCTAAAAACAAATACCATGGGATAAATGTTCACAAATAATGTTCGAATGATTATCTAAAATAATATTTGTAAATAAAACTGTATCAAAAATACAAACCTCGCTTCATGCAATGGTAAATCGCCTTTGGCGTTACGTAGCCACAGGTTGGCCTTTCGATCGCGCAGCAATTTTACCTGTTTGTTAAAAAAAAAAATGAAAACAATTTCCATTTGAATGTTCAATTGTTCAATGTATATTATCATCTGTCCATTTTCTCAAATCAAAATTTTAATTTGTGTACATTTTCAATTTACTTACGGTTTCAAATTGGCCTTTGGCGCACCCACTTTGGGTTTGTCCATGGCAGATGGGAATACACAATTTAAATAAAATGCACATGGAAAGCAAAAATGAAGACAAAAACGGAAAACCAAATTACATCATTTCTTTTGAAATACAAAATTAAAATGATTCATACCAATGGGCTGGTGTTCGTCCTTTACGATCCTGTCGATTTGGGTCAGCACCTAAATCCAATAGCATATACGTCGCATCAGCATGCCCAAGTGTAACAGAATAATGAAGGGCAGTACAACCGTTGGTATCTGGTATTCGGGTAGAATACAAAAAAAACGAACAATTTTAAATCAATTTCTTTGTATACTTAATATGATTACGTTCGATTATTTGCAATAAAGTTTAATAATTTACCAATTAAATCGACCGGTGCACCGCATAAATTAGTCAAAACATTAATGCATTCGGTGTGTCCTCTTGATGCGGCACAGTGTATAGCGGTCAGTCCATCCCTATTTTCGATTAAAATTATTAATTTATTTTCGAATTTTATTAAAATGATCAACAAAAGTTTAAATAATTGCATTCGCATACTTATCAGCGCTTTCGACTCGTGCACCAGCTTTGACCAGCATCTGTGCATTATTTGGGCGCATTTATACAATCAGAGATGGGGCAAAAAAAGAGCAAAATTACATCATTTTTTTTTTTCGTTGTTGGTTTTGTTTTAGTTGTGAATAGCATACCAAAACAGCTTTGACAGCACCAGCTGAAGCAGCCCATAATAGAGGTTGACGTCCATCTCGGTCACATACATCAACTTGTACATTTGGTTGTTGCAAAAATATTTCCAAAATGTCTAATGCTAAGTTGGCCGATTGTGATTGGTAACCGGAACCATTGCTCATTTGTGCTGCATAATGTAGCTGTATATAATGTACAACGAAAATAACAAAAAAAAGGGTGGAATGAACGGAAATGAAAAGAGACATTATTTAAAAATTTATTGTAAATCGAATTTTTCTATCTGTTTTTGTTTGGTTGGTGGTGTATATTATACTGTACTCTACCGGCGATCCGCCATTCAAATCTGTTATAGATATATCGGCTCCAGCTGCCAACAATGCACGCAACGCTTCAACTTCACCGCACACTGAAATTTTAATATAATTCATTGGTCGCCGAAATTAATAAACAAAAACCACATTCGATTCACTTATGCAAAACGATAACGATTACAAATATTTGCACATTTTAAAATCTATAATATGCTATTATTACCATAAATTATTTTAAAAAAAAATCACTTACCACTTGCCCAATGAACAACTGAATGTCCTTCGTTATCGACAGCATTTACATTTGCTTTGTTCGCTATCAATAAATTTACCAATGCTGTGTTCCCTTGTATAACCGCCAGATGCAATGGCGTAAGGCCATCTTCATCAGCCGACTCCAATAAATCTGGAGCCGCTGTTGTTATACTTGCGGCCGCCACGAGATCTAATTGTCCGCAACAATAGTGAAGAGCACTGCAATTTAATTATTATTTACAATTAGAATCATTTTCAATTAGAATCAAACATACACATGATATATATTTATGAAGCTGAACTGTAAGTACAATTGAGTTAAACGAATTTTAATCGAAATGATAAAGTCAATAAATACCTTTTGTTACTTCTGTCACGTTGATATAACGTTGACTTTGGCTACAAATATTGTCAAACGGAATAATGTTAATTGAATAGGAAACATGAAATATTTGATTAACAAACTAAAACAATTTTGTTTTGAATATGCGATAAATAGTTCTTCAATCAATTGCAAATTTATTGAAAATAATCGAATTGAATCGATTTAAATCAATGATATATATGGTGTATGGTGAAAATTGAAATGTATTCGAGCGTGTGTGTTGTGTGTTTGTGCTGTGTATGTTTGTGAAAGAGAGTTTGATATGAACTATAAAGCGTCGCTATCGATAGACGTCAAACAACGCATACAAATCGATTAATTAGTTGCCATTGTGAATCATTGTGGTTTCAATGTGTTGTTAACCTTCCTCCATTTGGATGGTTTGCTTGTATCTTATTTATGTTGTATTTTCAAAACAAATAAACAAATAAATCTTCTTATTCGATTTGATGGGAGGCTTGAAATGTTGCATTCGAAAAATGTCCCATTAGTAGCAACAGAGTGTAGCAAAAATGGATTTCTTGAATGTTCCATTCCCTGATTTTACGGTGTCAACGGTACAATTTACGAAGACAACAGAAAATCCATTTCGAACACAAGATGCACATCACCATCTAAATTGGTCTCTATCTACAACGTAACATGAAGCACAAAGTTTTGACAAGAATAAAAACATAAATTTGAAAGTGGAATTCTCAAACAAAATGCATACTTATATTGAGGCGCATAGAGGAGTAGTGTTGCTACAACACACAACTGATAAATGGTATACATTCGTTGCTACGCTACTGAATGCCATTCATTGTAAAAATAAACAAAAAAACGTATTTGAATTTGGTGAAAATGTGATGAACGTTGCTTTCTTTTCGACCGTCTCTTTTCAGTTATTTTTTACAATTGTTGATGTGGAGATGTTTCCATCTCATTTTTGAAACAAATAAATTGAATTTGAGTTTCATCTTTTTTTTTCTCGTTTAAAGTATGAAGTGGACTTAAGTGTGATGCCTTTTCTTGTTCAACAAATCATTTATTGTTTCGAAGATTTTATTTTTTACCTTAGATTTAATTCAATTTAAAAAAAGAGGTCATTATTCTTTGAATGTTGTTCATTGAACGAACAAACAATCATCAATTGCTCTCTCATACTTTTTGTAAGGGAAAGAAAACACTTAACACGAAATGATAATAAATGCGATAATTAGTCCGTCATGTTTCTTGTTTCACTTTTGGAGTGGCCCTTCTTGTGTTCTATTGTTTTCAATCGTTGATAATAAAATGAATGGATTTTTTTTTTGTATGGTAATACTATTTGGTCAAGGAACTTTAGTTTGGGGTTTGTAGTAGCGTCCCATATTATCGAAAATGGCGGAAATGGCCGAAATGGAAAATGTTTATATCGACCTTGAAAGCAGACCGTTTTAATCGAATCGCTTTCAATCGGATTCACTGTCAACTAAAACACGATATAGTGGATGGAAGTTTTGCAATTCGTGAATCAACCGACCAGTCAATATTTTGCGTTTTTTTTTCTCTTTTTGTTTCGTGTGTTCGGCACCAACAATTACCAGTCATAGACTGCTAGTTATGTGACCGTAAGAAATCCGTCAAGGTAATATTGTCATATTATTTGTTGTATAAAAACGAGAATGGGAAAAAAAGAGAAGAATTTACATGGAATTATGACGAGAATGAATGGAAAAAACAAAAATATATAAATTCGTACATAAAATGTAGTGTATTTATATGTATTTTTTTAACAACTCAATTGGTATAGAGCAGGTTTGTTGTTCGTTTTTGCTTACCTTGATCCGCAGCTCGGTCACGATATCATCTGATTTACCTTGAATTAGTGAGCCCGATGACGTTATACAAAGATTTGGACAATAGATTAAAATCCATATGAAAAATAGAGAAAGGTTAAACATTATCGCATGGTAACTATAGACAAACAACAGGACTCGGCAATTTTTTGTTTTGTTTTGTTTTTGTTTTGGTTTCATATCAACGTCGTCGCTGTTGTTGATTAGACGAAATTAATAACGCTTGAAAATGAAATGTGTGTTACATGTTTAGCTAAAAGAAATATGAAAATGGAATGAAACAAGAAAAGTAATTCACCTTGCTGACATGAATACATCAACGTAGTGCATCCTTTGGCCAAACGTTTTTTACGGTCGGGCAATTTTTTTGGACTAAAATTTTTATCGGTTAAATCCATTTTTTCGTTTATAAACAGGAAAACACTTTTATGGAACTATTATGTGCGTGTATGACGATATTATTCACAAAAACTTCTCTTTTTTGGTGCTGCTTTCGTTCACCACTTTTTCTCGTTTAAAAATTCAATCGTGCTAACAATGTCCCAATTCCGATAACGACTTTTCTATTCATAAGTGCCAATAGAGAAAACTATCTCAATAATTTTCAAATTGAAATATCAACACATTTCGTACGCTCCAAATTTCTGAATATTTACACAGAGTGAGTAAGAATCTCGAGCTATCTCACATTTCCTGTGAAAAAAGAAAAAAACATTTAATATTTTACTTCATTGTTTTTATAAGGCAGACTGACTAAAAATTACAATTTTATCATAGTGTTTCGAAAGAATGGAGTCTAGAGAATATTGATCTTGTAAATGTAAAGATGTTTTGAGTCACACATATTTGTATAAAAATCATAAAATTTCTGCTACAATCTAAATTCGATTTTCAAATGAAATAGAAGAAAAGGTTTACCGTATTCAGGATGTGTGTTTGTGTGAATTTTAGAAATATGAACAGGTTTAAAAGAAAATTTGGAATTTATGACCAGAATAAGCAATAAATTCGACCACTATGTTTGCCACAAATCACAAACTAGTGGTGACCATGAAACAAATTAGTTCATTATGCTATGAATGGAAATGGTATGTGTCTTGCCAGAAATAGAAATTTGTTGTTTTTTTTTACGTTATTTTCTGTGAAATTTTTTACATACGTAATGATGGTAGAAAATAAAACTGCAAGCATCTCCGAAAAATACTCGTCGTTTTTTATTTTTTATTTTCAATAGTACCACTCGAGAGATTTGTGTGTACGCGCACGCTTTTTTCCATAATATCGTTTGCTCGAAATCATATGTTTATGGGTATAAATAGAAAGTAATTTTGCGTGAGAAACGGTTGACCCGGTGCGATTGTTGGGTTTTTGTCAGGATTTTGCATGAAAAAAGGCACATGTCGAAACTACAAATAAAATAGCAATTATGTGCTCGGTCAGAATGTAGCACATGGTCAAGCATTCTAGTTTAGTTACATATAAAAGAGGAAAGGAAAAAAAAACTAGAAAAGTCAATAAAAGTAAAATTGGTTTATATACGATGAGACTTCCTGCCGTTGCGTTACTCCATTTTCAGGTATTTTCACACAGCTGGATTAAAAATCAGGGTAAATCCACTTTACACATTTGATGCTCCTTAAGAATGGATTTGAATAGGGCTTTTTGTTCGAACGTTTTTTTTTACTCAAAGAAAAGTATTCATAAAGAACCATCTCTAACGAGCCGAAATGTGATTTCAATAAATAGATTGTATGGCATGATTTTCTTATTCACTGTAGAAAGTCGAAACAATTTTTAGATCGATGAATATAGTAGACCTTTCCACAATTACATGTAATTGATTGGATTTGTGAAAACGATTTGCATACCACCCCGTTGAGTGAAAAAGAAACTTGTCGGCTGCCGTTTATTTGTGCATGAGTTATTTTATTAATTAAAACCGGCCCGGTTGTACTCATAAGTAGCTGTGTGCCAATTCTTTTGCGTGTAAGAAAGTTCAATTAAGGTGGAAAAAAATGTATTTGTCTGCACATTGAACTCAAAATAAATTGGTCATTTGTCGACCGATAAAATTTGCATTCGTTTTTTAATAAAACATGAAAAAAACAATGAGTTTTCCTAACAATTTTTTCTTGCCGAAGTTTCACACTTGTGTGTCAAATCAACCGAATACATAAGCTTCTGAAGTTAGAGATCCAAGGGGAGTTGGTTGGCAATTCCAAAATCTAGATCCATTTTTTGTACGAAAACTCTTTTAAATCGACATAATTTATAAAAAAAATTGTAACGGGGTAATTTCGCACTCCGTTCTTCAGGGGCAGTTCTCCCTCTAACCCCTGTTCAGAAGCTGTTAACATAAGTAAAAATATTGAAGTTGTATTAGTATTGTCTTGGGACGGGAGAGAAAAATGTGCATTCGATTTTTGGCGAATATAAATCAATGTGTGTGCAAGACATGCAAATAGATAACAAATAATTGCGTGAGTGTCTGCGTAAAATCGAACTTAGCATATATGTTTGCACAATGCATACACCTTTCGATTTCATTCGATATAACCGTGGCGTGAACTAATTTTCTCTTCATAATTTACAATATCGATATTATGCGATTGAATTTCCATTATGCTTGCCAATCGAATAACAATACAGTAGACAGTATGCGGCCTAAATTTTTGATTAAGAAACTTTGATAACAACCACACAGCAAGCAAGTTTTACGATAATATGCATAACTGCACACATAAAATTTCAAAGTTTATATGTGTGTTTTTTTCGGTGCTTTGTAATTGTGTAATTGGCGATTTTATTTTTTTATTTTTGTGGCTGCTAAAATGCCATGACTATGCATGTATTCTTTATTAAAACTTTGATTCTGAAGCTAGTTAAACAAACAGCGTAGAGAAAAAAAACATGCCATACATACGAATATAATATATTAGAAATTGGTAGAGACATGTATAACGATTTTAATGTTTTTACTAAAAAAAATTCTAATTATTTTTATTCTTGCGAACTGAATGTAAACTCGCATGTAATGTAGTTCTTTTAAGAGTCTCATTAAAATCAACCTCTAATCAGTATAATATTGAAATGACTTGCAAAACGATGGCATAATTTTCCAATCGCAGAACTGCCATTGGTCTAACGAATTTTCGATAAAAGAAACAACCAATTAGAGTTTTGGTCGGATGTACCATTCCGATTGGAAAACACTTTGGTGCCATACTTTCTTTTCGTAAAATGCATGCACATTTGCGTATTTCTTCTGTTTAATGTGAAAACTGCTTCGATTCGATCGTTTACGATACATTCAACCGCTTTGCGGTTCCATATATAAACTATGTGAATTTAATTTTGCTGCGAGATTATTTTTATAATTTATATATGTGAAACTATTATGTTCGAATGTTTGAAAATTGTAAATGTGACATTTAACTTAAAAACAATAAATCAACAATATAATAAAACCAGTTCACCTTTTATTCCGTTTTATTTTTTATCCACGCACTCGTATTGACAATGTTTGGTAAACAAAAACCATCTCATGCGATCACTGGCGAAAGTCAAGAAAATACGTTGTTTTTCGATTTATCACAATAACACCACAACGCAATGCATAACTTTGAATCAAAAATTGAAAATTTCAACAAAGTTCGAGAAACGGGAAAACTTAGAAATATGCAGATGATAAAAACCAAATCACGTGCGGTTGACACGTTTTTCTTTTCTTGTTAATTAACACCTTAAGGTTTCAATATGTTATAAATTTACGTGTTTTCCCCAGAATAATACTCCCAACTTGCACCTTTGCACGAGGAAAACTGACTGACAATCAAGTGTTTGTTCTAATCATATTTTAATACGTGACGTTAATTTCGACTTGGGGCACCAGGCCGCCGGAGAAAGAGAGAGCGTTCATGCTTTGAATTCAACAAAAAGCACCTGAGGAAATAAAAAAATAAGCAAGTAAGAGAGCGAGAGGGATGTAAAAAAAAATGTTTACATTCACATAACCAAGAATGACTGCTGGGAAATCAGTGTTTGAAGGCGAAGACAATATATGGAAAATATACACGGGCGATCGAAAAAAAGAACCGAAAATAATTCACTTAGTTCCAATTTGTTGCAGCCGTTACTGTTCTCATTTGTTTCATCATCATTCATGTTAGTAATGTATTTGAAGTGAGACTGCGCCACAAAAATGTGTACACATATATGAATTGTGTGTGAAACGTGTAAGGGAATTAATTGAATGTACGATAGGTGTATGAACGAAAGGCAAACAGCGGTGCGCGACCACACAAACAAAGCATTGCGACCAATGACTTTAGCGGTTAATCTTCGGGTATGGCTGGACATACCATTGCTGCCATTCAAATCGAAATATGCTACGTCACATGTAATACAATCACAAAATAAGTGAGTAGAAGTGCGACTTTTTATCAACGAAGACGCCGTTTCTCACACTTTTTTCGGTTTCCTTCTATTTCTCTCTCTCTCTCTCTCGTGTTCTCTGCACGATAAGATTGTTTCAATTGAGCGGTTTAAATGTGAATTATTTGTGGACGCATGTGATCTCATAGCCGTTTCTTCAATCGTTGCGAGTATCAGTGCCTACGACATTTCAGGTGTTACCCTTAATTACTAAAGTAACAACATACGTATTTTCATTCTTTGTTCACATTCAATGCAGCCAAAAATTCATAGTCATTTGTTATTGAAATCAGAATCTTGCATAAAAATCCAAAAGTAGACTGACGCGATTTCGATGTAAAAAATGGCTAACCTCATTTATAAACAGCGTCCAGCACGCTCAAGGTTTGATGGAAAATAAACGAGTCAATGTATTTGTATTATACTGTCCGAGCACGAAATCATGCATATACCAAAAGATTGTTTTACAGAAGAAGAAGAAGACAGAGGTATAAAAAGTTGAAGGAAAATCAAAATGGTAACAAACAATGGATCAAGATGTGCAATCAATCAGTTTCTTTCTTGTGTATCACCATTTACCTTTTGTGAAAGTGATTCAATCCTCATTATGTATGCGTACTTGAAAACTTCCTATCCGCATACTTTTGAAATTGAAATGAATTGAATTCCAATGCTAGAGTGGCTTCAAATTCCTAATTCTTACCAATTCCTAAACAATTGCGCAAACACATTTCACTCCTCAAGGTCCAAGTGGTAAAAATGTTCTTTACCTTTTTTCTTTTGATAAAATACACGCCAGTCTAATCGGAGCACGGCGCAGCAAGAAATCTAGTTCACATTTACAAATGTCCATGCCGAAGGACAGTTGGTATATAATTTATGGCGCTCAACCAATTCATTTCGTATATTTTATTTTTATTTTTCGTCTTCGGTCTTAAAAACGTCAATTTTGAATTTGAACTCCATGTTGCCAGTAATGTCTTAATTAAGGTGCATTAATCGTTTAATTTATTCATTTGATGTGTAGTGCACTTTCGTTGATTTAATTTTATGTGTCAATGATACTGTCTGACTTGGAATTAAAAATTTATTCATAGAAATTCATTTCATTTAAGTGCAAAATATTTAGCTCTAAAGCTAAAAGTTTTCGTTTTAGAATTCTGTTTTTTTTTCTTCAATGAAGCGAAAATTTAACGAACTTTTCATATATGAAATGCTTTTCAAGTAGACATATAAGCTTGGAAGATAATTCGCTTCAATTTAAGCTCATTTCTTACAACACTGAGTGAACTTTCAGTTGTGCTATTTTCCAGTATTGTCGATGCTTTTATAAAAGCTGGAAAAGTTCATTTTATCCATTTGTAGCTTTTCACTGAACTACAACCAGATGGCCTTACACATAAGGATATTTCGACGCTTGTTTTTAACAAAACGAATTTCGTATTCTTTCAGTATAAAAATTCGGCTGGCGTTCAAACGTCCCCGAACGGACGAAATGTCCGTCCGTACGTCCAACATTTTTGGTCCGTCCACACTTTTTTGATGGACGGACAATTCAAACGGACTGATATGTTGGACGGACGGACAATTCATGGATATGGATATAGATGAGTAGACAGCGATTCGAATATAAAAAATAAATACAGACGTACATGTTGGATGGACGGACGAACAATGCATGAAAGGCAGTGGACTTTGAATCATTAATACAGACAGTCATGTGTGGATTCCTTAAAGAAGGCATCGTGAGTCATACGTACAAAGCAAGCGTTCACAAATGCCAGCATTGATACAGCACATCACTATAGTGCTTCGTATCTTCGTCAGCACACGAAGTGCTCCAAACGCAAAACGAAGGCATTAGCAATGCAAGAATCATTTGATGCGCATATCATTGCTGACATTTGTGAACGCTTGGTACAAAGAGGTATAGATGTCCTATTAACACAGAAATATTAACATATCTTATTACTAAATACGAAAAATCCTTTATTAACTATTAACAACCAATCATACTACGCATATTAACATGAGTAGTAGTATTAGGATCGATGTTAATAGCGAGTAGTAGTATGTTTATTATCTATTAAGATGCCGAAGTTAATACGCGCCATTTGCAATTTTTCGTAAACAAACAATATTTTGACCGATTCAATTTTTATCACATTTTTCTCTTATTTGTAATTTTTATTGAATATTTTAATTTTTTATGAATTTTATTGGAATTTATTATTTATTAGAAAATTATTTTCGTTTTTTTTTAAGAAGAAAAAATGAATAAATAATAATAGTATATTGATTTTATTCTTTTCAAGTGGTTCTCTAATGACATGAAGTATTGAACGCGCTCTTTTTTACGTTTGACGTAAGGTGCATTTTGTCAATTCTGTATGTTAAGCATAGCTGTGACGTACGAACCACAGTTTGTATAAATCGTTGTTTACCGAACAAAAACAAAATAAATTTCTTCTTAAAAAATCGAAAATAATTTTCTAATAAATAATAAATTCCAATAAAATTCATAAAAAATTAAAAAAATCAATAAAAATTACAAATAAGAAAAAAATGTAATAAAAATTGAATCGGTCAAAATATTGTTTGTTTACGAAAAATTGCAAATGGCGCGTATTAACTTTGGCATCTTAATAGATAATAAACATACTACTACTCGCTATTAACATCGATCCTAATACTACTACTTATGTTAATATGCGTAGTATGATTGGTTGTTAATAGTTAATAGCATCCTAATAAATATTATCATAATACAAAATGTATTAACATATCGGATTTGGCACATCTACAGGGTGTTTCATATAAGTGGCTCACTTTTATAGAGTGGTAATTTCGAAAAACTCTTTTGGGGGATATTTTAAGGGTGAAAAACTAAGAATTTTGGCTCAGCCGGATTTTTGAATTTTTTCCCAGGGGGTGGAGGGGGGGTCGATTTTCCTCAAAAATGAATATGTGTCCAAATCGGTCAAAATAAAATTAAGAGTAAGTTTGAATATTTATCCTTTTATGGTTGCAATGTGTTCTGGGGATCTTCCTCTACAAGATAGACCGATTTATAGGTCGGTCAAAATGAAGGGGGTGAGGGGAGGGGGTCATGTACATTGAAACTTTTCTACTTGATTTTATTCAAAATTGCGACACAACAACCAAATTTTTTTTGCTCCTATCGTGTTTCTCGAGTCCGTCTCGACATGATAAAACACTTTGTAGAACATTTCATTTTGATTCGGGCCGGCCCGGGCCATCAATCAGAAGTTACGCCAGATTTTTCACCAAAATTTTCGCTACC